CAAGGGCAGCAGTCCCATGCACGTGCTGGACCGATTCACCATCTCCCTGCAGGTGTGGTGCTGCCCCCCCCCCCCCTCCCCACTGCGGCTGCCACCTGGGTGTGCCCGTTACGGGCCGTGTCCGCAGATGACACCCGTAGCGTACATTAACGACTATTTTGAAGGGCTCTGGTGGCAAGCCGAAGAAGGAGAAAGGGGCGCATCATAGGCTTTGCCATCGTTGACGCTAACTCACATGCCGCTGGAAGTGCTGTTCGACCAATTTGCTGACGTCTACACATTGCGTAGTTGCCTAAGTTGCGATTACCTGCACGGGAGTTACATGCTTCCTCCGCCAGAAAGATGTTGATGTGGTTAGTGGCCGCGTGCCCTTCGGCTGCCTTGCCCAAAATCTCTTCCGCATGCTTGGGCTATCTCTGACATTCATCCGCCCGTAACACTAGGTGTCGTCCTCGGGAATTGCCACATGATCCTCCCTTAGCTCATCTGTGAACGTGCGTGGGCTGCCCTAACACCCATCTGCTCTGTGCCTTCCTAACAAGGCCAGCATGTGTCGCTTATGTTCTTTGGAGGTACGAAGCCGTTTGGCCCAGAATGAGGATGAATTTTTTCCTGAAATTGTTACCGTTGTAAATTTGCCGCAGACTGGAACACAAACCCGTCGAATAACAACACAAGAATTATCACCATGCTGTCTCAACCGACATTACAAATTTTTCATGTGCGTGGTTTTCAGACCCATTTCCAAACATAACTTGTCACCTAATGATGGCAAACTCCGTTCCGAAAATTGCACCTCCACTGGGTCCTGATCAGTCTGTTGCTTTAAATCACTTGCCATAAAATGGGTGAACTGGCTGGCCGGATCGATCGATCCTACGCCGAGCTCGATTTGGCCGATGTACGGCTTGTGCTTTCTCGTCTGGGGCGTCGGCATGTGACCTCGGGCTGCCCGCGGCCCGGAGTCTCCAGCGGCGCCGGCCGCCGCTGCCGAGCCCGGCAGCGGCGCTGCGCCGGCCTCCCGTGTGGGCGTGTGACGCCCGTGCCGGCCGGCAGCTGGAGCGGCGCCGCCTGGCTACCTCCGACCCCGAGTGGCCGCTGGTCACCGTCACCGGCAACCTCAGTCAGCTGATGGTGCACGTCAGCGAGCAGAAGCTGCAGGCGCTGCGCAGCATGGCCAGCCGACTGCTGCTCGCCGATAGGTCAGTGTCGGCAGCATGGCCAGCCGACTGCTGCTCGCCGACAGGTCAGTGTCGGCAGGCAGTACTGGCCAGCCGACTGCTGCCCGCCGACAGGTTAGTGCCGGCCGGAAGCATGGCCAACCGACTGCTGCTCGCCGACAGGTCAGTGTCGGCCAGCAGACGCTTATCCGTTGGGCCGACTGTGCACACCGCCGGGACACTGTCATCCGCTGGTCTGCCGCAGCAGGTGATCGGTATTTTCAGCAGCTCCGTGAGCGTCTCGTGTGCCCCACATTGACATGCCACTCATTGTGCGCCCCATCCTCCATTTCCGTCATGCTGACCTCGTCACCACCCGTGCCGCTGCGCTCACCATCGTCCGTCTCCCCGCTCCTGTGACCTCGTCACCACCCGTGCCGCTGTGCTCACCATCGTCCGCCTCCCCGCTCCTGTGACCTCGTCACCACCCGTGCCGCTGTGCTCACCATCGTCCGCCTCCCCGCTCCTGTGACCTCGTCACCACCCGTGCCGCTGTGCTCACCGTCGTCCGCCTCCCCGCTCCTGTGACCTCGTCACCACCCGTGCCGCTGTGCTCACCATCGTCCGTCTCCCCGCTCGTGTGACCTCGTCACCACCCGTGCCGCTCTGCTCACCATCGTCCGCCTCCCCGCTCCTGTGACCTCGTTACCACCCGTGCCTCTGTGCTCACCATCGTCCGCCTCCCCGCTCCTGTGACCTCGTCACCACCCGTGCCTCTGTGCTCACCATCGTCCGCCTCCCCGCTCCTGTGACCTCGTCACCACCCGTGCCGCTGTGCTCACCATCGTCCGCCTCCCCGCTCCTGTGACCTCGTCACCACCCGTGCCGCTGTGCTCACCGTCGTCCGCCTCCCCGCTCCTGTGACCTCGTCACCACCCGTGCCGCTGTGCTCACCATCGTCCGTCTCCCCGCTCGTGTGACCTCGTCACGACCCGTGCCGCTGTGCTCACCATCGTCCGCCTCCCCGCTGCTGTGACCTCGTTACCACCCGTGCCTCTGTGCTCACCATCGTCCGCCTCCCCGCTCCTGTGACCTCGTCACCATCCGTGCCGCTGTGCTCACCGTCGTCCGCCTCCCCGCTCCTGTGACCTCGTCACCACCCGTGCCGCTGTGCTCACCGTCGTCCGCCTCCCCGCTCCTGTGACCTCGTCACCACCCGTGCCGCTGTGCTCACCATCGTCCGCCTCCCCGCTCCTGTGACCTCGTCACCACCCGTGCCGCTGTGCTCTCCACCGTTCGTCCCCTCCCTGACCCTGTCACCGCATGTGCTGCGCAGCGAGGACGGCGGCGCGGACATCGGCCCGGTGGCGGCGCCGCGCGCCCCCTCCCCCTCGGTGGAAGAGCCTGCCCCAGCGGAAGAGGACGCCACCGCCGGCCGGCTGCTGGTGGCGCAGTTCTCGGCCGGCCAGATGTCGCTGGCGCTGCAGTCCCGCGGCCGCGCCGTGGCCGAACTCCAGGTGCGCGCTGGGTGCCGCCTGCCGGCCCTGCCGGTTGGCCGCTTGTCTTACGCGGCCGCCTGCCGACCCTGCCGGCTGACCGCTAGTAGTCTCACGCCGTCGCCCAGTTGCATTGCCGGCTGACCACCAGTAGTCTCACGCCGTCGCCCAGTGGCACTGCTGGCTGGAAACCTATGGTCTCGCGCCGTCGTCCAGTGGCACTACCGGCTGATCGTCTATGGTCTCATCCCTTTGAGAAGTTTTGTCTGTTTTCGGGTGGATCTGCGGTGTTCCATGAATTGAAAAAATGTGAGCCAACAGCGCACGTCATAACCCGGTGGGAAACATGTAAGATGCCTTCATGAATGCCAATGGAAGTCCACGACACTGTCGGTGCTGTGGTCGACCACCGGCAACTGAGAGGCGGCGGTGGCACGTCACCGGGCCCGGGTGTTGCCGGCAGGTGTGTGGCGCGCGCGGACAGCTGAGCCGCCGCCGCCGCCGCCTGGCGCTCAGCCTCTCCGTGCACAGCCTGCTGCTGGTGGACGCCCTGCAGACGTACGGGCCCGACTTCGAGATCCTGGTGGCCAGCCACCGCAGCGTCACGTGAGTGG